TGAAATAAATATACTGGTATCATTGGATATTTTGATTTAATTGTGAAATTTTCTAACAACATGTTAACTGCTGACTTTGAACCCTCAATCAACAATTCAGCAGACACAGTATAAATTCCACAACACCGCGGAAGATATTCGTCTATTGCCTGAATTGTTTTCGTAATATAGGAACGCCATCGACACTTTAACAAAACGTACCTTGACTTGGGTCTTGTTTATCTCTTGTCACAATCTGGAAACTGTTGAACAAATTGCGCGTCGTCCAGTTTAAGACGTAAGTTATTACCAAACGCTTCAGCGTGGTATTAAGAATTTGTTTTCAGGGTTGGGTGATTGAAAATGGGTGCACATATGGGTGTAATTCCTGGAATTGCAATAGAGAGGGTTCAAGCCGAAATACAATATATAGTGTTTCCATGTTTCGTCTGATATTTCTGTGGTATTCTGCTGCTGTAAATAATGCAAGATTTGTTCCGAAATTCAGTGTGTTGTGTGCACTCCAGGGTTATTCGTTTTTTTTCTCAAAACACCCCTATTTTTTAATGGCAGAGTCCAATAGTTTCACCCCAACTGAGAAATCTGCATTGTTGCTTGAATGAGAGCTAATTAAACACATTTTCCAGATCGGCGAAAGTGTATGCAACAGCCAATTTTAACAGCCTGTCACGTGATTTTACTCTGAATGTCAACAAGAAAGAGGCTAGTCCATTTTACGCAGGAATAATTGGGGGTAGAATATGTGAGGGATAGTATCAACAGAGATGTGTATACTGAAAAGTAACATCTATCCTTCTTTTGCATTACTTAGCATTTCTGTTTTAGTATACTGGTTTGAAAATGTTGAATTTGCATGATTTGCGATGTTTTTTTTAACTGAAACTCCCCTATTGATTGAATGTCGGGTTTGAAGAAGAACGGCACACCACGTGAATTCGTTTGAATACAATGGTGAAGGGTTGACCCTGGGTTGACACAAATTTATGTTGAAGTTAAAAGTTTCTCCACAGAATTTTGCATTGGCAAACATGCCATGCTACTGCGGTACTCCACTGACGGGATGACTTTCGTCGACAGCGGTCGTCGCTGAGCCGCACGCTACAACTTCGCTTGTGATGTAACTTGTTAGCCGTGAATTGAATGAATCTTCATTACCGGTTAAAATGTTGTTCATTTGGCGTTGGTAATCTTTATTTGTAACTGGGTAACGTCGCAACGTCGCCAGCAGAAACATCCTAACTAAAACCGGGCACCGTATATGAAGTTCGCAAAAAAACATTCAGTCTTTAGAAGTCACTTAATTGTATTGCTAGGACGTATTCAGCCGTTAAATGTATTATTTCCAACCGTTTTGCGATAGTATTTTCTAGATTGGAGGCAGCATTTACATTTCATTCAAAGTTCAAAGTTGCGTTGAGATTACGTTGATACAGTGTAACAATGTCGGCGCCGGTGATCTCTTACCAGTGCGCAACGCAGCCAAAATAAAAGGCATGATCATTTGGGCACTGCTATTACAAGACTGGTAGGAGGCAATAAATTTGGCGAAAGTATTCAAAAAACAGATTTTGGCTGTTGCCATGGTAGCGGTGGGTCAGGATTGTTTTTCCAATTAGTGATGGTACGACCTGCCTGTCAAGTATGAACAAAATCAGCCAAGCCAAAAAAAAATCACAGAAGAGTTAAAAAGCCATTCCTGCTGAATAGTTACTCTAACTTCGGGGTCAACTTTCTCATTAATGAAACAAGATATCAAAAATTCAAATAGTAACTTTTTGCCCACACTCAAGCCGAGTACAATGAGCTATGTCTGAGGTGTTGTATCACAGGGAGTTGGACAAACTTATGTATTTTAATAAATTATTGAATAATAAAATGTTATATAACTTTTCTTTTACC